TATAGCTTATCATGCATAATACCTATTTCAAATTTAGAATTTTTTTTTTTACATATATTTACTTTACAATGATACAAATCAACACAATTTGAAGTGAAAATTATCAACCTTCATCACTTTCATTAAATTTTATTTAAGATGATGATCTTTTGAAAACAACTTCATTTTTATTTTAATGTTTAAACCTTGAGTGACCAAGAATGCATATTTTGTTAATTGATTTATCCTATTCGATAATTTGTTGTAATGTCAATTTATAATTGAACAATCTTGATTGTAGTTTTGATTAATACCATTCTTGCTTATCATATAGCATGTTTCAATACCATTTGCAAAACCTTTTTTCCCAGCTTATTCAACAAATTAAATCCTTTCAATTCTAAAAGAAGAAACAAGATCATCAGCTCACAAGCCTAGCATAGCATAAAACAATGACAAAAAGAATGGATTATTCATTACATTCACAACAAGAAAAGCAAAAGCTTTTTAGGGGGTTGGTGTCATTTTGTCAAGGACAACAATCTCAATTTTGGTGATCAATGTATATTTTAGAAAACACAACTAAACAAATTTGATGTTTTTATCTACCACACTAGTTGATCAAGAAAACATGTTAGAATCAATGATCTTATTCTGTTAAGAAACAAACTCACTCTTTTGACATTATCCTTTTATTAAATAGCTTTGATGTTATAATTTTGTTAAACAACTATTGATGGTCTACTTTTGTTAGAAAAGACTTTAAGTCTTACTTTTCTATACAAAATATTTGTTTAATGTAAATATTTAATAGTTATAAAGAACATCTGTTATAAATAGTTAACAAAAATTTTAAATCTATTACTAAGAATAAAACATTTTATTTCTTTTATTTATAATTAAAATTATTTGCTTTTCTATTTTTTCATAAAAAATGTATTTAATCTACAATAAATGAATCAAATTCTATTTGTTTTAGAATTGAATTCTTGATAAATAAATTCATGCTAATAACCATTAAGATTAAGCAAACTTATCTTTGATACACAGATTAAAATTTTTTATCAATAAACAAAATACAACATAAAAACTTAAAAATAATTTGAAAATTATTATAACAACAAATTTTGTAAAAAAATATTTTTATCAAATAAATATAAAATAAATAAAACATCAAATAAAAAATAACTTAAAAAAATAAATAACACATGTTCTATAATAATTTAAATGTTTTAAAAAAACACATTGCAAACTAATATTATAACTTTATTTTATAAAAAAAAATTTATCAAAACATCATAACTAGAATACAAAAAGCAAAAAAAACTCCTTATTCTATATTTAGCTTCTTATACCTCATATACCCATTCTTTCATATTTTATACACTAAGTCTTTTCAATACATTTAAACCACACATTAAATGCCCAAAACACCAAACCCACCTAAATACTTTCACCTCCACATATTCATCCTTTTATACCCCATATACCTAACTTCTCATATTCCATACACCCAATCTTTTTAATGAATTTAAACCAAATTTTAAATGCCTAAAACACCAAACTCACCCAAATGTTTTTATCTCCTTTGTTAAAAAATGCAAAAACCTTAATAAATCTCTTTGTGAAAATCTAAACGTAAAGTTTCATCTCTATCAAATACCCAGTAACAACAAAATGAAATATCTACTGCCTAGAGGAAAAAACATGGCTACCAATAATTATACTTTTGTTGAAGACATTACAAACCTAGATGAACTTTTGGAATTGACAATCGTTTTATAAAATCAAGATATCACTAAAATTTTCTAGTTAAAAACTTTCAAAGGTAACTCAAATTCATTATATTTTATTTGTATTCCCCCATTGTTATAATTTTATCTTTTAAAAAAGCATGCACAACTTTTCATTTATGTCGTTTTCCCCATTTCATATTGGATTTATACCTCATTTTTTTATATTTATCTTATGTTGGCATCTGTTATTATTTGGTTTACTTTCACCATTCATAGGTACAAAAAAATTATTTGTTATGATTTGGATGATCTTAACTTAAACTATTTAAAATAAAGATTTCAATTGATTTTTAGAAACAATACACAATATCAACAAGTACTATTCCTAGAATAGAAGTTAGAACTTTAATTTTTGTAAAGATTTTGAAATCTTTAACCTCTATCTTGAATTGCTTATCTACAATGAAGCTAACACATGTAGAAAACATTTTATTTCTATTAATAGTATGTTGCATTTTGAACTTGTTTTTATACATCAAAGTTTAAACTAAAAGAAAACTTTCTTATTCTAAAGTAAAAAGAGAATGCAACTCTTAGAAAATACTTATATCCAATTTACAAATCACCAATCGATGACAATTATTTTAACAATCTTAGAACTTACACTATGCAAATCAAGTATTCAAACCTTATTAATATTTTATCACCAATCCAAACAAAAATTAAAATTAGTAAATATAATTTTTAACTTATTTGTATATCTAAACAAAAAACATCAAATTCAATTTCATTTTGTTACTATTTTTTTGATGTTGGAAAAATCTTTATTTCATATATTTAAACACTTAATTATAAGCATAAAGTTGATAACATTCATCACAAACAAGTTAACCTTATGGATGTTTCTTGCATTTAATTTATTAAAATTTTTGTTTTGCACATTGCACTACTCTTATATACATATATATTGAATTATGCAAAATAATTGTAATCACATTATGATTTTCTTAAAATTCACCGAGTAATAAAATGATAAAAAGTTGTACTAAAACTTTAATCACTCAAACAAAAAGTTTGACCTTATTCCTACTATAAATTAATCTAGAAAGTTTCAACAAAAAACACAAAGTCTAAACACAGTTTCACTTATATTATACTTTACTCTTTAAATACTATTTATTATTCTAAATAGCTTTAATCATTTAATTCAATATTGTTTCATCTTTTATTATTGTGTTCTAATAAATTCATTTTTAATATAATCATAAATAAATTGTTTTTACTATACTTTATTATCATAAAAACTTCCTAAAAACTTTAGTCCAAAGTACATGATAGTTGTTCCAACTCCAACCCTTGTGCAAATTAACAGTTTTTTCCTAAATCCATTCAAAATGCAATTGGGTAAAAGTAATAGTTGACTATGCTTGCAAAATAGATGGAAGGAATTTGTTGAAGCACATAATCTCAAAATCGAAAACATTATAACCTTTGTATACAATAATAACATAAATTTTGAAGCTTTTCTCCATGTTGAATCAGTTGCTACATCAAGTAACCTGCAAGAAACAGAAAGTAAGATGTTCATTATGTCTTATGCATTTAAATTATAATTATTGATTTTTCCACTGCTTCGATTAAAGAAAAATCAATAAATTTTATAACTTTTAATTCTAATTATCATGCAAAAATTGAAGATGATAATTATTGTGATAATCTTGTGTTTTATTGCACGATAACCAATACAAATGTTGGAATAAATCTCACCTCGGTAAATAATTACATATAAACTACTACCATGAATTATAATATAATTTCACTCAAGAATAAAAACTGAATGAACCATGCATTCAAAATATTTACTAATACTTTTTTTTCATATTATATATACAAAAGATATCAGCTTCTTTCCACGAGTATCTCGTAATGAACATACTTTAATCACTTTATTGATTTTTAAAGAAAACAAATCTTGAACTATACGTTACAATGTTCGAAACAAATTCTTCATAGAAAGATGGAAGAAATTCATCATTGATAACTATTTGAAGATCGAAGATTATTGTCTCTTTAATATGATCAGAACTAAGACTTTCAAAGTTGTTTTCTATCCTAATTATGAGTAGGTTTTTTCCTTTTGTTTTCCATTATTATCCTATAAAGTTTAACTTTTATCTTATATATTCATGACTTTTAAAATATTTTACTTACCATTATATTGTAAATTTTTATCATTTTAATAACTTCAATTAAGGCCGCAACATAGTGCGGGCATCTCCCTAGCCTTATTAAATTTCTGTTTGCATTCTTTGAATATCTCAATCAACACCCTATGAATACTTGTAGAAGAATTGTGGCTAAATTTTATAGAATAATTTTTATAAATGGATATCCATTTAATAAACAATTGCATAAAAACGTTCAAAATAGTTCTTGATACTTTCAACAGTACAGGATTACATGCAATAAAGGATGAACTTCATCATATGTTTCTATTATTGTTATTTATTTATTTATTGTCAATTGGTGACATTTGAAGCTAGAACGCACAGAAACCTATCCGACGTAGAACGAGCTGAGCTAAACTTTAAGAGGAATCAATTACTGTTAGTTGTTGGTTCTTGGTTGACGAAATTTCAAGATTCTACACCTAGCTGGATTGCTTAACATTAATTTCTGAATTTTTTTAAAAATAATTAATGGTTTAGCAAGATGAGCTGTTATAACCAAATATTGGCATTTTTCAACCAGCTTGTCCAAATAAATAATTCGAATAAGTTGTGGGGGGCTATTTTCTCATCTTACTTTTCGTTGCTTATCTTTCATCTCAGAAGGTTAAACATAATAAAAGTTGAAAAAATGACACCGAAGTAAGCAGCACTTTATTCATGGAATAATAAACTTAAAAGAGGTAAACATCATTATAGTATGATGAAGCCCCAGGTTAAAGTTCAGAAGCCATTAACAACAAATAACATACTGTTAAAATAGTCCCTAATTAATCTGAATGACATATGAGAACTAAAGGAAGCCATTAAGCTCGTTTATTTCAATACAATGAAATGAAATTTTAAATGAGACTTCCATGAATATTCTAAAAGAAAGATGGAGGCAATCTGACTAATTTTAATATTATTTGACTGAGGTTTTTTAGAGGCCTTAATAAGAGTTGTTGAGAGGATGACCAAAAGAAATTCAAAATCTGGAGCACTAGCTTCTTATCATGGAAAAGGATAGTGATGATAAGAAAAGCTTCAGCTTAAATGCTCTCTTGACACCAAAAATATAATCTTCTGAAGCATTTTCTACACAATTCAAATTAGAGAACCAACTACAGATTGCAGTTAATTATAAATACAGTGATTTGTTAAAAAATTATGTTGTAAGTGGTCCAAGATGATATTCCAAAATTTTGCTTTATTCTGAAATAATATGCCCTTTGAAACAGAGACTGTCATGTCATGTACAAATCTCCAAACTCTTTCGATATAGATCCACAGCTTGATGAACACATTATCTATAAGATCTAGTCAAAAGTGCACCTCTTAGAGTACATCTATGGCAGTTTGGAAAAGATGTACTGCAGTGTTTATGGGCAAATTTTCTACAGATTTCTGAAATATTTGTTCTAAAGGAGTGATCAAGTACAAACCTTGCATGCAAGCCAAAAGATAACATGATGAATGTTCCTAGCAGCTGAACAGAATTTGTTACTTGTCTGCCATCCTGATAAGTGTAAAAGCAACTAATAGTTCTTGACAAAGTTTCAAGTCGTTACACAGAGGCTTTCTTAAATTGAGTCTGTGAAGGACAACGATGAAGCACACGCTCAGAAGCAGCTGTGTGAGTCAAGATAATAAAACAAGACCACCTTTGTATTATACAATAAGAAGCAAAGGCACAGAGCTTACTCAACTTTCAACAAGAGTCCGGAATTTCACTCGCTTTTTAATGCTACCCATTCTATCATAACCTATACCTATCTTACTATGCATCAGCTTCATGGCCAAATCTGCACTGCCTGCTTTTCTCAAGGCATTGATTAGAACAGTTCGGATTCTTCCTGGTATTTCTCTACCCCTATCAACAATACCATCAGCCAACTTGCAGGCCTCCTTGACACGGCCTGCTTTGCACAGAACATGGATCATATCTTCAAAGGCTGTGTCAGGAATAATGCCCATTGGTGCTAGATCATCCAAAATCTTGCAGGCCCGGGTTACCTTGCCTGACAGACAAAGCCCAATTGAGAGGGCCCTAAAAGAAGCTGCAGTTGGTGTGATACCTTTATCGATCATCATATCCCAAAACTTCAGTGCTTCCTCATTTCTATGCTCCCTGAACAGTCCACTTATAAGTATTGTGTATGTATAAACTGTCTGATCGCATCCTTCATCATCCATCCTATTAAAGAGCTCTAATGCTTCATTGACCCTCCCACACTTTGCTAGGGCATCAATAAGGGCATTGTAACAATATGAATCCGGTGGGCAGCCTTTCACAGCCATATCTTCAAAAAGTTTCTGAGCCTCATCCACTCTACCAGACTTGCCCAACCCATCAATGAGACTAGAATAAAACAAGGCATTAACTGCCCCTTGATTAGCTCTACAAAACCTGAAATACTCCATGGCCTCGTCTAATCTTCCACTCTTACACAAACCATTAACAATGGCCCCATATGAAACCTCATCTGGTTCAAGGCCATCAGCTTTCATCCTCTCAAATAGCTTTAATGCCTCTTCCATCCTTCCACATTTTGCAAATGCATCTATCAAAGTTGTATAAATCACCACATTTGTTCTAAGCCCATTACGAATCATATTCTCAAAAACAGCATATCCTTCGAGACATTTCCCTTCTTTACACAGTCCTCCAATAATCAAACTGTAAGCATGGGGCGGAACTTCACATCCCTTCTCCCCCATTTCATGATACAAACTCAAACAAGAATCAAAATTCCCCTCTGAATAACATGCCTGCATCAATGTCATATAAGTAATCTTATCCGGCTCCAAACTTATTGTCTCCATAGCTCGTAACATTTCCATTGCTTTCTGGGTTTTTCCCACCTTACAATATCCTTTAATCATGGTGTTATAACTCACAACATCCGCTCTAATTTTACCGTTCTCCATTACCTCAAAAACCCGCTCTGCAGATTCAATAAACATAGAATTCACCAATCCATTAAGTAAAAAATTATACGTATATAAGCTAGGTTCAATGCCATTCTCTTTCATTCTTCGCCACACCCACAATAACTCCTCAACCAACCCAAGTCCCCCAAAATTCTTAATCAAAGAATTTGCCGATGACATTGACATTACAAACCCAATTTCTTTAAGCTGTCCAAATATAAACCTCACTTTTATCAGATCATTTGCTAGAGCTAAAACATTTATCAAAGAAACATAACATTCCAGTTTATGGGTATATTTCTTTTGCTTAGCAGCCCATGTAAAGAACCTCAAAGCAACATCAGGTTTGTTTTGAACCTCGACAGATGCTAAAACAAAAGCAACAAAATTTGGAGACAAATTGATCAAGAACTTTTGGCAAAAAGAGTCTAAATTTGATTCCATGTTGGAAGAACCATCTAAAAGATTAAGAATTTGGCTTACCCAAGGAGATGGCTGCAAGTCTTGAGGATTTGTTGAGGCTAAATCAGAGACATTAATGAAGGGCTCTATCCACTCGGGAGGGGGAAGATAACTAGGAGTGAATATGAACCTGGAGGAGAAAATGGAGATTGAGTTGGATAACAGTTTGGGGGGTTTTGGCAGTGACTCAACATTTCTGTAAGGACTAGACAGAGGTGGAGATTGGGGACCTGATAGGTTGAAAGGAGGGAGAGGTTTCACTTGGGTTCTTCTAATCAGGGTTTTTGGGTGCCGACCGGTGAGACAGAGAGCTGATGATCGAGAAGAAATGAAGGGGAAAACATTGGCCTTTACCATTTTTACGGTGGCCAGAAATCGTGCCGTTTTCTAATCTAGGGGAACCGAAAAAAAGAATAGAAAAGAAGAAAATAGGCCTGCTGCTGTTCTGAGCCTTCCATCCTAGCCACGACCCACTACTCCATCTGAGCCCAAGTCCGAAGATTTCGGATTATCTGATTTTGGGTCTAACCGAAAGGCACGTGAGGTCTAAAATCTATTAAGTTAACTGGTAAGAGAGAGTATTATAATTTTAATATGGTATTTAAATTTTAAAAAAATTTTAATTTAGTTTTGAATTATAAATATGTTAATTAAATTCATAAAAGAGAAACAACATGTGAAAAAATTAAAAGGGAAAAAAAAGGGAAATTTAAAAATATGAAAATAAAAAATTTTAAAAATTGAATAAAACGTCTAAATTTATACTGTACAAAAGATACAAAATTAAACCGAAATCTGGTCAGGAGAAACAAGCAATTTCTTGAAGTGGAGGTTTTTTTGTAAGTTGTCGCCAAAATATATTTGTACAATATTCCATGTTTGGTTTTTGTATCATTGTATTTTGAGCAATCTTTTCATTATATAAAATCCCATCAAATTCTTCTTTTTCCCTGTCAATGTCCCATAGCAGAAGGAAAGTCATAAACAAAAGGTTAACAATCTATCTAACAATCCATGTCAATTAATTTTTCTTTTGGCCACTACCCGTATCAATTAATTAAATTTTTTTTTTCGATTTTGCAAGTTTTGGTATGAGAAAATATAGATTTTTCTTGATTGCTTTCCAGTTTTTATTTTGAAAAAAATGATAATATTATAAATAATCTCTAAATTATTATATTTCTTCTAATGCGATATTTAAATTAAAAAAAATTTTAAATCCATATCTAAACTTCATTTCCTTTATTAAGTTGTTTAAACCTTTTAACCTTTAGAATAATATTAATGTGGCAATCAATGCTGATATGGATGATACGTGACTGTTATATGATAGTGATATGACTATCATATGTTATTTTAAAAATATTTTTATTTTTAAATAAAAAATTATAATTTTTTAAAAATAAATAGAATTTTAAAAGCTAATAAAAAATCAAAATTTTTTTTCATTTTTTCTCTCTTTTTCTTCCTCCGATTCCTTATCTGAGACCACCAACCACCATGTCACCATCTCAACCTCTATCATATCAACCCTACTACCATTATAGATCCAAAACTATATATATAAAATTATAAATTTTTAAAATTCGATTTGAATCCGAATCGAACTTTCATAAGATCTTATCTAAACTAAAATTTACCAATTTGTTTTGATTCGATTCATCGATTTTTAAATTTTAATTTTTTATACATTATTTTAATATGATTTTTAATATATTTAAATAGATTTAGGTATAACATAATTATTTTATTTTATAAAAATTTAAAAATATATATAAAAGCTAATAAAATATATAATTTGTTTTGATTTGGTTTTTTTTTTCAATTTAATATCTGAACCTAATATATATGCTTAATATCCAAACTTAATTCGAACAGAATAAGAAAAAAAAAATCGATTCGAATTAAACCAAACAATATGATTTCAAATTGATTTTTTTTTCACCCTTAACTAAAATCCTTTTTAGCAGTACCCAAAAACCCAAGCAACCATCACCACCCAAACCAAAAAATTAAAAAAATAAAAAAAAAACCACACATTCCTTGCTAATGAGTGAATAAGCAATATAGAAAAATAATAGCGAAAGGAAATGAAGGTTTTCAATGGGGTTTTTTATTCATAATCTCCAAGTGCATAAAATCATGCAAGTAATATAATGATAAGAAAACTATCGTTCACTCAAAGATTGTGTATATGAAATCACAAGTACCGAAATTGTTACGCTTAAGCTTATACTTTGATAAATCAAATAAAAAATAAGGTAAACTAATCAAATATAACCTAAAACATACAACATTAATATAAACCAATATGGAAGTAAACTAAACAAGCTTCAAATTACTTGAAACTATAATATGCAATTCAATTAAAACCAAAATTAAATAAACATGACTTAACTAAACTGAAAACAATTAACTCAATTAAACAAATTTAACAAACAAATGCTCAAAACACAACTAAATAATCCCTAAATAGCATAAACCAAATTCAATTAAACAATTAAACATGCAATATTAAACTAAAAAGCATAATCCGAACACTATATAAACCCTAATAACAATAGTCGAATAGGATTAAGCAAATAAACATGCAATATTGAACAAAAGAATCAAAACCAAATGCCATAGAATCCATTATGCAAAACCGAATATAAACCTTATGCAATTAACATGCAAATCATGCAATACTAATAAAACCGAAACTTTAAATATCTTTAAAACTATGCAATAAAATTAAATTAACCAATTAACATGTAATTAAATCAAATTAAAACAAAACAAAATTTAAAATAAACCAATATACGCAAATTGAAACTTGTAAGCCCTAATATCATGCAATTTCACACAACCCTATTAAAGAACCCTAAACTGAATTGAAATCAACATTAAAGATGCAATAATTAACTTAAAATCAACCTAAAAGCTAAAATAGAAACCGAATTAAACAATAAACAATTAAATCAATAGAACATGCAACAAATCATGCAAATGAATTAGATTAAAACCCTAAACATGCAATCTAAACAATATAAGCATAAATCAAATCAAATCCACTTTTAAACTTCATAACCGAAAGCTTTAAATAAGATTTAAATTGCAAATGAAAGATTTATACCAAAATAGAACATGAACTGAATGGATTGAACAATTATAAAGCAAGAATCACAAACTATAAAAGCAAGAATGCAAAATTGAAAGCAAAAATCAATCTTAAACTAATATTAATAAAATTCAAATTGAAAAAGAATATAAGATAGAATTTAAATAATTGAAAACTAAAAAGAATGTGCATATACTAAACTTAAAAACCAAAAAACTAAAAAAAATAAATAAATCTTTAAAACCAAAAGTTTGAATGCTAAAGAAAACTTGGACAACTTTAAAACAAGAAAGCTTAAAGATTGGTTTGTCAATCCAACCCCTTACACCTTTTTTCTAAGACTTAATGATGTATTTCTAGGCTCAAGAAAACTCTTGTATGTTTGGCCAAGTTAGATTTCTCAAGACAGCTTGCACACTTTCGGTTGGATTAGGTTTCTTGAATCCAAGAATGCTTCTTTTAGTTAACTTCAACAAGAACTTTTTAAAAAGAAAACTTATAGACCATTCTTGTCTTCTAGATCATATCCATCATGTAGCAACTCAAATCATGCATAAAAGAATGAATAATTGAATCTTGTATATGAAAGCAAATGCATTTTGGCTATGATGTATAAACTTCTAGAAACATGCTTCAAAATGCTTTAATCTTGAACTCTTTTTATAGTACATGGCTTAACTTCAATTCTTGAAAAAAACTAGAGCTTCACTTCATATATAACTCATCCTTAATGCCACCTATCCTATGCTTTTATTATAGCTTCATGCCAATCCTATTCCTATTAGAATTAGGAATAACAAATCCTACTAAGAGTAGAAAAATCAAATCCAAGTAGAAAAAATAAATAGAATTGCCACCACATCCTCCATGTCATTTTTCTTAACCAATAAGAAAAAAACTCTATGCCATGTCATCCATTAGTAATCCCATACATGTGAACCTACATAAATTACAATGGACTTGCATTCACTTGAAATTATAATTCTACCCTCATTCACAGTCGAAATTACCAACTTGAATCTTGCATGAATTTTCTTCATCTTTGTTCAAGATTGCACCAATTCAACTCCTCTAAATTCCATAAAACCACTCTTAGACATTTTTCACATTCTTTAATTCCAAGATTCCATATTATGCATCAAGAATCATCCAAAAATCTTCAAGAAACACCAAGATTTATCGAGATTCATTCTTTTCTTCAAGAGAACCTACAAACAAAAATTTCAACCATTTTGGAGTAAAAAGAAAATTATTTTGCTAAGAACTAAGCAAAAATCAACCAATTAATCTTTACAAACAAGCCTAAATAACTTTATTTTATAGAGTTATCAAACCTTTAAACTTGAACTTTTGCTTCTCTTCGATCAAAATAGAAATAAGCTAAAATAAGAAAATAGCATAGTAGATATCATATAAACTTCCAATAATCAAATTCTTATAAATCCTTAAAAATTGCATAATGAGTATATCTTAAAAGAAAATTATAAGCATAGCTCCAACACAAAAGTCATTTAAGGATAAGCTTTCATTCCAATCATAAATTTCCATATGTGTATGAATAATTTCTCTTAATTCAATGCAAGATATTCAACTAAAGTTATACAAACATGAAATTAACAAATCACCTTAATGCATGTACAAATTTTATAAGTTTACTTTTCACATACTCTCTCCACTAATGTAACCACAAGTTAACCAAAAATCAATAGGTCATTATTAAACTTGTAATGTCAGCCTAGGGTTAAGGTATGATAAAAAAAATTTAGGCTCATAAACCCCAAATATGCATTACTTAGGATCTACCTTTTATAAGAGAGCTTTCAAGAATTATAATACCCTCAAACTTAAATTTTATTTTAAACAATTTTTTTTAATTTTTAAATGAATTACTTTGTTGTTTTCCACAATTCCACCACTTTTTTTCCTTTGAAAAGCTATTTTTAGCTTTTTCTTTTCTTTTATTTTGTTTTGCCTTTAAAACAACATTTTCACGATCTGTCTTCCTTAACTCAAAACATCCACCCTTTTTTCCCAATGAAACAAAGCTTTCATAATTCTTTTAATTGATCCATTTGCACATAGGATAAATTAGAAAGGTAAAGATAATAAATCAAAGGGTAGGTAATTTATGTAGGTGAAAACAAATAAAGGGAATATATACATATTAGGCTCAAAAAGGGAAACTAGGGATAAACATAATAAGGTTAGCTTGAAAGGCTCAAACGATCCAAAGATAGCCTAAATCAATTCCCTAGTTAAGTATGATCTATTATTTCACCTCAAGAAATGCTCAAACAAATTTTTAAATAAGCACATAACTTCAAAGATCAATGCAACTTCACATCTATATAAACTTTAACTAAAAAAACATCCATTTCAATGATCAAGACTAAGTAATAAAGAATGTGAAAATCTTGCAATTAAAAAGAAACAAATTTAAGAATTCATCTCATGCCTTCATTACA